CATGAGACTCCTAAAGTTTCACCATTACACACGCTCTAAGCGTTGGTTTCATAAGTTAATATTCACCGTGTAATGACGTCTACATTAGTTTGGTGCTTCAACTGAAGACGATTTTACAATAGCATCACATGATCCATCCTTCAATTTACAATTTACTCCCTCTATTTTTTTTTCTAATAATAAATATTTTGGAAAGAATCACAAATCTATATTTTATACTTTTTATTCAAAATTTGTATAGCATTTTCTAGATTATTGTATACTTAATTTGAGTGAAAATAAATAAATCAACTAATAATAAAAGATCATTTTTGGAATAAAAAACATACTATATGTACATAACATAAAACATACAATTTTTGGAAATATAGAAAGTATTATTTATCATTTTAGATGCATAAAAATACTTCGTAGTTTACATTGTATCGTTATCATTTAACTTCTAATATAATATATTTTTTAATATTTTTTAGAAATTTTTCGACATTTAATTTCTAAAATGATAAAGTGTTTTGAATTTTTATTCTCATTTTTAAAAAAAACTCTAATAATATAAAAAAATTTAGCAGTATAATTTTTTTGCAATAGTCCACGCATGCGCGGGTTAAAACTCTAGTATAATATAAAAACAGTGGCATATTTGCAAACAGGTCTAATTAGTGGCAAATTTAAAAAATAGCAGTTGAAAGATGGCAGTTTTAAAAATTTCTCTTATATATCACAATAATATTATACTTTTAGATGTTTTTTTTATTCTTTAATATTTTTCTATAAAATTTAGCAATATATTACCATCCGGGTTTAAATCTATAAAGAATATGTCATTGCGTTATTCTCTAGTGTTAGTGAAATTAGTAGTGAAAACGAGGTGATTGAGATGATAATTGTGATTTCTTATTTTCAAATGATAGGATAAATTTTGGTTTTGTTATTGTTTTGTCAATAGCGTTGTACAAAAAGAAGGAGAAGAAAAAGAGAAATTGATACTTGAAAATTTGGCATCTCCTCGGCCACACTCACATATGAGGTTGCATGCGATCACATTGGGTCTAACCCTTTAGCCACAGATGGCCAACATGCACGTTTTCTCCTTTCTCTTACCTGAGTCTGTCAGAATACTATAACAATTGTAACTGATGGTGG